GTATAGGTGGTGTGCTGGGATTTTATTAGGAAAAGCACCGCAGGTAGACTACCTAGTTGCGAGCGAAAGCAAGCAACGTAGGCAACTATGTTTTAATAGAATGCTACCTATTCCATTTGTAACTAGGTATGACCAATCATAAGGTGTGACAAATAAAAACTAATTAATTAATTCTATATAATTAATTAATTGGTTATTATTTGTCACATCTGATGATTGGTCATACCCTAGTTACAAATGGAAAAGCAATTTAATAAATTCGTATAGTTTGTTGGTGTCACGTGATTTGGTGATAATCACCAATGGCGATAAATAGCAAACTCCTTTTCAGATTTTGTTTTACTTTTTTTGTTATAATATCTTTTGGATTATATAATTTACAACAAGATTTGTATACAGCAAATCTTGTTACATGATTAGATATACTAATAATATTTTTTTGCTATATTAATTGAAGTAGGAAAACTATTATATTTTTTCTTGCTAATATTGGTTAACAAAAACTGAAAATATTTAAAAACATTAATACTTATATCAGAATACTGATATCTTTGTTGGTAATAGAAAATCTATAATATAATTCATAGCATATCTTTATTAATATTTCAGATATTGGCTTCTGAACTATTATCTACATAAGATGCATCGAAATTTATTAAATCCTCTTCTTCACTCTCTTCCTCAGTTTCATAATCTTTATCACTTCTCATATTATTATTTTTATTATTATCATCAGAAAAGAATAACAAATCTTCACCAGAATAAAATAAAGATAATTTTGCATTATGAAAATCTTTGAGTAGCTACTTGACAAGGAACTGAAGATTTTCAGACTGAGGAAGAAATAAAAAATTATATATATTATTATCTAATGTTTCACTATCTGTTAAACCAATATCCTGACCTATGAAAGCAATATTCTGATCTATTAAAGCAATTTTATTTATCATATTTAAAGACTCTTTACTGTTAGAGGTATCTCCTAGCCAATATCTAACTTAGCAGTTTGATATAATGTGTTTT